GTGCAGGCACTCATTCCTCCGCGCATGACTGTGGATGTCACATGACCAGCTCCTGTCTTGATTTCTCCACAACTGTTGAAACATAACTTGGACTTCTAAGCCAAAATAAGCTCCTTTCTCCCTTAAATTGTTTTCTGCCAGTGTTTTCCTGTAGCAGTAGACATAAAATCAGGGTGGATTTGAGGGCGTGTTGTGCTTTCTGGGTGAGATTGTCATGAAGAGTTATTAACTCCATAGAAAGACAAGACAGCAATACAGCAGGGCTCTGAGGAGAGACCAGGGACCCGTGGCAGAGTCCAGGCCCTCCTTAGACATTGGAGGGGGAGGTTCTAAATCACAGGACTGAGGAACAGCCCTGGTATGTGCTGGGGTTGGCCTTCTGGATGTCTGAATCAGCTGAGGGTGAAAAGGACAGGAATCTAAAAGAAGTCACTGGAGCTGGGAAACCAAATCACTATGTCAGTTTGGCAAAAATGGAGTGATCCTGGCTAACACCTCCTCTGTCCACACACACACACACCTTCCCCCTTCCACACACATGTGCAAACACACACACACACACACACACACACAGACATACATACACACACACTCCACAGTGCAGCCCTGGCTAACACTTCCCCTGGTACACACTCAAATGCATACACACATACTCCACAGTGACAGACATGGCTTGGATTGGACTTAGTCCTGCATTACACCCCAGACAACAGTCATTTTCAGAATCCTCCCTCTCTCTTCTCACAGCTGCAGAGGACTCAGGCCAAGCCAGGGCCACCACCTGGGTACCACCAGGACACAGAGAAACAAGACCATGTTGTATCCTAAGATCAGGGTGAGGAACCAGCAGAATGTTCCAGGGAGAGGCCATGAGTGGGATGTGGGGGGCAGAGCAATAGCACAGTCACCCCTTAGAGCACAGATCCCCGCCCCTTACAAAGACAGCACAGATCCAGGATTAGTCAACAGCACATGTGCAGCCAATTCCTAGCACGCGCGGGGGCAGGAAAGGGGGAGTGGACACGGCATGGATGGGGGATTGGGGACACGGGGAACACAGGACATGTGACATGTACAGGCAGAGGTCCTGTTGCAGGTTACATGATGGCTCGGGAACCTGGCAACATTGTATTCTTGAGAGGGGAGCCAGTTGGCCACCAGCTTGTTTTGTTTTGACTAATACCAAGCAACAAAGTAGCTGAGGTCGTGAAGTGATAAGAGCCTAGGCTTGGGAGGTTCCGGTTCACCGCCTTTTCCCAGCACCAGCAATGTCTCTTCACTGTAGTGAGGCGCTCCACCCTCCTTGAGCCTCTATTTCCTATCTCCATGTACTGGCACCTCCAAGCACTGCAATAAAACCTAAACAGATACCCATAATGCAGCTACAAAAGGATGTTGCCATAGAATTCAGTAAAATAGCTCCTTTTGTTTGGTTGGTTGGTTGATTGGTTTGAATTTATTTATTTGAGACAGGTTTCACTGTAGCTTTGGAGCCTATCCTAGAACTAGCTCTTGTAGACCAGGCTGGCCTGGAATTCACAGAGATCCACCTGCCTCTGCCTCCCGAGTGCTGGGATTAAAGATGTGCACCATCACCGCCAGGCTGGTTGGTTTGGTTTCGAGACAGGGTTTCTCTTTGTAGTCCTGACTGTCCTGAAACTCTCTATGTAGACCAGGCTGGCCTCGAACTCTGAGATCCACCTACTTCTGCCTCCTAGTGCTGGAATTAAAGGCATGCACCACCATGCCTAGCTTGCTCCTTTCTTTTTTATGCAGTACTGAATGGAGATGTGACTAAGGGTCAGCACATTCTAGATGAAGTTCTACCCCTGACCACGCCCCAGCCCCTCACTGGGGAGGCTTTAGGAAGTACTCCACCCCTGGCCATGCCCCAGCTCCTCATTGGGGGGGATTCTAAGGAGGGGTCCCACCCCTGACCATGCCCCTAGTTCCTTGCTGAGAGATTCAAGGTGGAGGCTCCAACCCGAGCCCCCAGGTTCTCACTGAAGATTCTGGTCAGTTCTACTGCTTCACATTTTCAGAATTTTAATTCCATGCTGTTTAAAAACTCACCGTCGGGACGTCGTAGGCTTAAAGTGGGAGAGGGTGGGGACAGGAGGGTTTATTACTGTTGTGTTCCTAAGTTGACTGACTTCTGAAAGTTTATGTTTATATACCCACAGACAACAGCTACCCCCAACCTTGACCAGAGACGCCTGTCTGCAGCAAACAGTGGTGAAAGCCCCTCATGGATGCTCAACAAGCTGAGAATGGGGAATGACTGAGTTGCACCTAAACAGGGTGTTAGTACCCACAGCTAAGGGAACATGGAAGAGAGGAGGACCAGTCCCAGCAGCCCCCGGCAACTCAAGAGATCAGAGAGGATCTGATGTCCTCTCTGGCCTCTGCTGGCACTACATGAATATGTGGTTAGGCATATCATGCAGGCAAGACACACATACACATAAATGTAGTAAGGAGGCCACTTATTTGTCACTAGCTGCTTAGCCCCAAAATGATCACACAGAAACTGTATTAATTAAATCACTGCTTGACCCATTAGCTCTAGCTTCTTATTGGATAACTCTTACATCTTAATTTAACCCATTTCTATTAATCTGTGTATCACCACATGGCTGTGGTTTACTGGCTAAAGTTCCCAGCAGCTGTCTCCAGCGGGGCTACAAGGCTTCTCTCTCCACCTTCTTCCTCCCAGCATTGTTTAGTTTCCCCCACTCCCAGCTCTGTTCCTTGCGCAGGCCCAGGACAGGTTTTTTTTTTTATTAACCAATGGTAATCACAGCATATAGAGGGAAATCCCACATTACATAAAAATGAATAAATAAATGAAATAAACAAAACAGGAAGGCTTGAAGTTGGGAGGGTTGGGGAGGTGGAGGTTGGTCTGGGAGTGAATCTGACAAAGAAAGGAAGAAAGGGAGGACGGGAGGGAGGGCAGAAGAGAAGGAGAAATGGTTGCGGGGGGAAGAATCTTCAGTCCTTGGCTTGATATTGCCTTGATATTGGCAATATCACATTTGGGTCTGCAGTGAGGGAGAAGCAGCATGGTAGGGCTGGAACTGGGGTTCGATGGGTCAAACACTTGCCCAGCATGTATGAGGCCCTGAGTCCTATCCCCAACACCATATAAACCCAGGACATGACGGTACACACCTGACATCCCAGCACTCGGGAGGTAGAGGCAGAAAGATCAGGAGTTCAAGGCCACCCTGGGTTACTTATCAAGTGGAGGGCCAGTCTGGGCTTCATGAAACCCTATCTCAGATGGCAGAGGGGCTGTGGAGGTGGCTGAATGGGTGAAAGCACTCGCGCATACCTGAGGACCAGAGTTCAAATCCCTTAAACTCACATAAAAGCCAGGAACACAGCAGGGAGTATGTGTAACCCAGAGTCCCTGCAGAGGGTGGGAGGTAAAAGCAGAGGTGCCCCAAGAATCCGGCAGCCCATGGCCAACAAGATAAAGACCGACATGCACGGCTGCGCTCTGACTTCCAAAAGTGCTCAGGCAAACTCATGAACTGGTGGCGCACGCCTTTAATCCCAGCACTTGGGAGGCAGAGGCAGGCGGATCTCTGTGAGTTCGAGACCAGCCTGGTCTACAAGAGCTAGTTCCAGGACAGGCTCCAAAACCACAGAGAAACCCTGTCTCGAAAAACCAAAAAAAGAAAAAAAGAAAAAAAAAGAAAAAAGGTTTTAGATGTCACTTTGAGGGGCTGGAAAGATGGCTCAATGGTTAAGAGCACTGTCTGCTCTTCCAGAGGTCCTGAGTTCAATTCCCAGCAACCACATAGTGGCTCCAAATCATCTGTAATGAAATCTGGCACCCCCCTCTGGCATGTGGGTATACATGGAGGCAGAAAATTGTATACATAATAAATAAATAAATCTTTAAAAAAATAAATAAAAAATTAGATGTCACTTTGTTGATCAACCCCAGCATTCCAGAGGCTGAAGCCCAGAACATCATGAGTTCAAGGCCAGCCTGGGCAACATAGTTAGTTCCAGGCTAGCCTGAGCTACATAGGAAACCCTGTAATTAAAGAAATAATTATCGGCCGGACGGTGGTGGCGCACGCCTTTAATCCCAGCGCTCGGGAGGCAGAGGCAGGTGGATCTCTGTGAGTTCGAGACCAGCCTGGTCTACACGAGCTAGTTCCAGGACAGACTCCAAAACCACAGAGAAACCCTGTCTCGAAAAACCAAAAAAAAAAAAAAAAAAAAAGAAAAGAAAGAAAGAAAGAAAGAAAGAATTATCAACATCAACACTGAAACAAAGACATATTGATGTGGGGTGCACCCTGCTGTTTGTGGGGTCTAGCTCTCTCTCTCTCTCTCTCTGTGTGTGTGTGTGTGTGTGTGTGTGTGTGTGTGTGTGTGTTAGCCCACTTATGCCAGTCTTCAAGCCCTCCTGGGGGTGGCATCCATCTTCCAGGGCTCCTCAGAACTGTCCTCAACATGCGCAAATAGGAAAGGAATGCTGTAGAAGGTTTCAGAAGACACACACACACACCAGGAGCCAGGGTATCTCCCACACACACCTGCCACCCTGAAACCAAGCAACTCTGGAGATCCTGGGCCTCAGAGACAACACCCTTCCCTGCCTATAAAAAGGTTCTGAGGAAGTAGCTGGGCTCAATTGCTCGATTGGGATGGAGAGGAGAGAAGCAGACAGAGACACTGAGGCAGGGGCTGGGGTGTGGTGGGTCCTAGATGGTGTTGATCTCTCCACGCAGTCCCTATGAAACCAGAGTGGAGAGGGACAAAAAGTCCCTGATGGCACTTGGAAGTTGTAATGAGGCTACATCAAGACCCTGAGGTCTCAGACAAGGCGTTTGCCGGGGTCTGGGCAGGGCGGGGTAGGGGGGAGATTCCTGCATCCCCGGGCTCCTCCCTATATCCTCCCCTCCACCCTTCCATCCTTCAATGCGAGCATCCCAGGCGGGCCCAGGAGGCGGAGCTCGCGGGTGACCCGGCCGTGACGTGGGTATCGCTCTGCTGAAATAGAGGCGCCCGGGTGCTCAGAGACAGCTCTGCAGCCACTTCATCCAGTCTCCAGAGCCAGAGCCACAGAGGTCCATCGATACCCGTCCATCAGCAGCTACCAGCAACGCCACCACCATGCGGGAGATCGTGCACCTGCAAGCCGGGCAATGCGGCAACCAGATCGGGGCCAAGGTGCGCAGAACTGGAGAGGGGGTGGCTACGGGAAGGACGGAGAGAGGGGTCTTTAGCTCCCTTAAGACTCGCCCAGGAATTCTGCGTCTCAGGGTGGTGGGGGAGGGGAGCCAGGGCAGAGCCAGGCCGGGAACAAAGGGGCCGGTGATGGGGGCAGGGCCTGGCCTTGTGTCCCTTGGCCACAGCTGACCTCACAGCTGGGCCACTGTCACCATCAGCTGCAGGCACAAAGAGGTACGGCCCCTCCTCCCAGGGCAACCTCAGGGATGGGCTGGCACCAAGTGTCTCTGGGGGGTCCCGGCCTGTTCCTACCCCCACTTCTCTTGCTTCTTGCTGGCTCACGCTTAGCTGTGCCTCTGAGTTCCCCAGTCACCCCGTGGGAGGACGGTTAACAATTGGAGAAGTGGCGCTAAGGGTGTTCCAGACACAGCATCCTCAGCTCTTCCTGGCTATCATTGTGACCCACTTTGGGAGGTAGAAACAGGAGCCCCAAAACAGCCTCCCATAAAGAGTAAGTGGGAGGCCAGCCTAGTCTATGTAAAACCCTGTGGCAATAAATACATAAATAAACTGGGGTGTTGTGGTACACACCTGTCACCCCAGCCGCTCGGAAGGTGGTTTCAGGAGTTCAGTATTATCTTAGGCTAGCTGGTGATTTCAGGCCAGCCTGGGCTACAGAAGACCCTGCCTAAAAAATAATAAATAATAAATTTTTGCAAAAAAAAAAAAAGCCTACTCAACCCTTCCCATCGTCAACCCCAACATCAAACAAACAAACAATAGGGCAGGCAACATGGCCAAGTCCAACAACCCGAGTCTGATGGCCAGGACGCAAGTGTCGGAAGGAAACAGCCTCCTCTGGCAAGTTGTCCTCTGACCTCCGTTCAAGCATGTTATTTAAAAATAAATTGTTTTTAAATAATAACAACGGCAAAAGGAAAATCTGCTCAACTTTGCCATCACACACGTCTCTCTAGTTCTGGGAAGTAATCAGCGACGAACACGGCATTGACCCCACCGGGACCTATCATGGGGACAGTGACCTCCAGCTGGAAAGAATCAATGTCTACTACAATGAGGCCACAGGTAGGGCAGCTAGCAAGGTGGACGCCTTCTGTTGTGGGGGTGTGGGCTGGCAAGAAGGGATGGGATATGTCCTGGAGCCTGCTGGGCCTGGCCCTCACCCCAGCCATCTTCCATCTGCCATCCCCACAGGTGGAAATTATGTTCCCAGAGCCGTGCTGGTTGACCTGGAACCTGGCACCATGGACTCCGTCCGCTCTGGCCCTTTTGGCCAGATCTTCCGGCCAGACAACTTTGTGTTTGGTAAGTCCCTCTCCGCTGTGGGCGCACAACATGTTTCCTTTCCTTTCTAGCTACCATCAAAGAGCCGATTACTGCAGAGTCAGAGTGGACAGGGCAGTTGGAGATTTGATTAGGGACACCAGCCTAGTCTAGGCTAGCCTCAAACTCTCCATATAGCTGAGGCTGGCCTTGAACTAACTTATGGAGCCTAAGATGACCCTGAATTCCTGACTCCCCGCCATCACCTTCCCAGTTCTGAGATGTCAGGTGGGTTTCTGTGGTGCTGGGGTTGGAGCCCAGGGCTTCGTGCATGCAGCCACTGAGCCCCAGCCCTCTGGAGATGGCATCCTTAGGAAGGATATGAGCAGGTTCTGTGCAGACAACGCACTGTCTTCTAGAAGGGCTCTGAGTCCGTGACACAGGGCTGGTGTTTGGCCGTTCATCTCCAGCCTCCGTCCTTAGAATGTCAACTACACGTGAATAGCAGCAGGGAGGGGTAGGAGCAAGCAGCAGACTGTCTTGTTCCAGGCTGCAGCCCCAGCTACTGGCCTTGACAAGTGAGTTTCCCTTTTGGATGGATACAAAGTTTGTGGAAGGTAACTTGTGCCTGCGTAGTGTGGAGCATCCGGAAATGACTGAAGAGAGAAAGATACAAAAAGTGAGGTGGGCCAGAGAGCATGCGCACAGAGTGTGTCTGAGAGACAGAGAGGAGGAGGAGATAAAGGAAGGGAGGCAGAGAGAAAAGAAAGGGGAAGATTCAAAGGATGACTCAGTTGGTAAAGTCCTCAGGGTGCAAGAATAAGATGTGAGTTCAAACCCCAGCACCAATTTAAAAATACAAGCACAGGGATTCATGTCTGTAACCCTAGCTCTGGGGAGGTCGGTGACAGGTGACACCCTGGAGCTCACTGGCCAGCCAGTCTAGCAATGCAGCAGACCCTGTCTCAATAATAAATAAATAAGGTGGGAGAGACAGGAAGACACCAGACGTTGGCCTCCGTACACGTGTGTATACACAGGCACGCACACACAAACACACACACACACACAGAGGCACTCACTTTCACACAGGTGACATGAAGCAGAGGCCCGCTGGAGGTGAGGCAGGGGATTGAATACCGGTGGAGAAGGAATTCCAGGCAGCCAGACTGGCCAGTGCAAAGGTCTCCGAGCTGATAGAGGGGCATCAAGGAGGCCCGCGTGACATTAGCAGAGGGAATGAAGGCAGATGGAGAAGGAGGCAGGAGGGAACAAGGCAGGGCCAGAAAAACTTGCTGGCTGCGGGGTCTTGAGGAAGCGGGGGAGGGGGGGGGGGTTGGTTTGCTGGGAAGGGACGGGACAGAGGGACTCAGCTCACGGGCGCCCTCTGGTCGCCGCCTCAGGAAACACAGACGTGAGAGGCCAGAGCCGGGTCTGGGCACTGTGAGAAAGCAGAGATTTTCAAGTTTATGGGGCATGGTTTTATTTAGTTTTTTTTTATAGGAGCCTTCTAGCTTCTGGATGAAACTGGCAAAATTGAAACACTATTAACTATAGTAATTATTATAGCATAATAATCGACGCTGGCAAGATGGCTTAACAGTTAACAGCAATCAGCTCTAGCAGGGGATCCTGTTTGGCTTTCAGGACCCTGGTGGCCCTTTAGCCATCTTCAGCTCCCGCCTCTGAGGGCTCTGCATTCATGGTGCACAGACAAACACGCGGGCAAAACACCCGCACACATAAAAAATTTTGAATAAACCAGCACTCGGGAGGCAGAGGCAGGAGGATCTGAGTTCGAAGCCAACCTGAGGAGTTCCAAAACAGCCAGGGCTACATAGTGAAACCCTGTCTTAGAAAAAAAAATTTCAATTAAATAAATAAAAGAATAAAATAATATTTTGAAGATAACCATATAATTAAATTAATCATATCTTAATAATGATTGCTTGATAGTAAAGTGTCAGTTATTATTTATGCCTATTATTATACTAAATGACTGCTGCTTGGTTTTGGTTTTGGTTTTGGTTTTTTGGGGGAGTTGGCTTTTCGAGACAGAGTTTCTCTGTAGCTTTGGAGCATGTCCTGGAACTAGCTCTGTAGACCAGGCTGGCCTCGAACTCACAGAGATCCGCCTGCCTCTGCCTCCCAAGTGCTGGGACTAAAGGCGTGCTCCACCACCACCTGCACCTGACTGCTGTTAATAATAATAGTTGTGCTGTATTATTACATAGGGTGACTGCAGACAGTGGCAATATACAGGATCTCAAGCAGCTGAGGGAAAAGATTTTAAATGTTTTTAAGATAAATAAAACAGTGATGTGTGGGGGGGGAATAATTCTCTTTATCCTAATTCAAACGTTGGACAGTATAGCCCTGTATCCAAATGCAGTGTGGCCCTCCACAAATGTGTATGATTCTTATGTCTTGACTATAAAATGAACCAGGAGGCCTCTGTGGCTGGGGTAGAGGAAGTGAGGGGAACAGATGGAAGCAGAGGCAGGGGGGAAGACGGCCTGGTGAGCACTCACCTGAGCATTCACCTGGCATACACAAATCCCTGGGTCCCATGGTTTCCTGATATCTGCCAACAGCTCAGAGCTCAGTGGAGCAGGAGGGTTTCCTTGACTACGCATGGGGTTTGAGGCCAGCCTGGGCTACATGAGATCCCGTGTAAATAAACAAATGATCCAAGTTCGGCGTGGCAGCCTATCCCAGTCAGCACAGCACTTAACAGGCAGGCAGGCAGGGCTCATGAGCAGCCAGGGCTGCATGGTGAGAACCTGTATAAAAAATAAAGTAGCCGGGCAGTGGTGGCACACGACTTTAATGCCAGCACTCAGGAGGCAGAGGCAGGCGGATCTCTGTGACTCTGAGGCCAGCCTGATCTACAAAGTGAACTGCAGGACATCCAAGGCTACACAAAGACACCCTGTCTCAAAAAAAAAAAATAGGTAGATAAAACCACCTAAGAAAAACAACTGGGGGTCTAGAGGCATGGCTTCATGGTTAAGAGCACTTGCAGCTCTTCCAAGTGACCCGAAGATTCCCGGCACCCACATCAGGCGGCTCACAACCACTTGTAACTCCAGCTCCAGGGGATCCACACCTTCTTCTGATGAACTCACATGTACACACATAAAAATAGAGCTTTGTTTGTTTGTTCATTTAAAAAAAAAAGTCTCACTGTGTAACCTTGGCTGTCCTGGAACTTGCTATGGAGACCAGGCTGACCTTGAATTCTCAGAGCTCTGCCTGCACAGTGCTGAGATTAAAGACGCACACCACTGTACACAGCTAAAATAATTCTACTAAAGTAAAAATAAATAAAGCCAGGCAGTGGTGGCGCACGCCTTTAATCCAGCATCCCAGCACTCAGGAGGCAGAGGCTGACAGATCTCTGTGAGTTCGAGGCCAGCCTGGTCTACAGAGCTGGTTCCAGGACAGGCTCCAAAGCTACAGCGAAACCCCATCTCGAAAAACAAACAAACAAACAAAAAGTAAAAATAAATAAATAAATAAAATTAGCCACCACAGTCCCCAAAAGTAAATTCAATAATTAAAATAACAATAATGCTACCATTATTCTACGAGTCTTTTCATTATTATTAATTACTGAGACAGGGCATCATGTAGCCCAGGCTGGCCTCAGAGTCACTATGTAGCTGTGGCTAGTCTTGCATTCCTGATCCTCCTGCAGCCACCTCCTGAGTGCTGCAATGACAGGTGAAGCCAGCATATCTGGCTTCTGCTCTGGCAAGGAACCCAGGGCCTCCCGTGTGCAAGGCAGGGCTCTACCCTCCTAGCCTGGCCACGCACCCTTGTCATTTTCTGGTCTAATGATTCAGACACTAGGGTGCAGCACTGACCGGTTGGAGGGTCCACCCTTTCCCATGCTTGAGAATCCAAACCTGTCCCTTCCCAGGTCAATCCGGAGCCGGCAACAACTGGGCCAAGGGTCACTACACCGAGGGCGCGGAGTTGGTGGATGCTGTCCTGGACGTGGTGCGCAAAGAGGCAGAAAGCTGCGACTGCCTCCAGGGATTCCAGCTGACCCACTCGCTAGGTGGTGGCACTGGCTCCGGCATGGGGACCCTACTCATCAGCAAGATCCGGGAGGAGTTCCCCGACAGGATCATGAACACATTCAGCGTGGTGCCATCGCCCAAGGTGTCTGACACGGTGGTGGAGCCCTACAACGCCACGCTGTCTGTGCACCAGCTGGTGGAGAACACCGACGAAACCTACTGCATTGACAACGAAGCCCTGTACGACATCTGCTTCCGCACGCTCAAGCTCACCACCCCCACCTACGGGGACCTCAACCACCTGGTGTCGGCCACCATGAGTGGGGTGACCACCTGCCTGCGCTTCCCGGGCCAGCTCAATGCAGATCTTCGCAAGCTGGCGGTGAACATGGTACCCTTTCCTCGTCTCCACTTCTTCATGCCGGGATTCGCACCCTTGACCAGCCGGGGCAGCCAGCAATACCGGGCCCTCACTGTTCCTGAGCTCACTCAGCAGATGTTCGATGCGAAGAACATGATGGCCGCGTGTGACCCGAGACACGGCCGCTACCTGACCGTGGCTGCCGTCTTCCGGGGACGGATGTCCATGAAGGAGGTGGACGAGCAGATGCTAAGTGTGCAGAGCAAGAACAGCAGCTACTTCGTGGAGTGGATCCCCAACAACGTCAAGACGGCCGTGTGTGACATCCCACCCCGGGGCCTGAAGATGGCAGCCACCTTCATCGGCAACAGCACCGCCATCCAGGAGCTGTTCAAGCGCATCTCGGAGCAGTTCACCGCCATGTTCAGGCGCAAGGCCTTCCTGCACTGGTACACGGGCGAAGGCATGGACGAGATGGAGTTCACTGAGGCGGAGAGCAACATGAACGACCTGGTGTCCGAGTACCAGCAGTACCAGGATGCCACAGCTGAGGAGGGAGAGTTCGAGGAGGAGGCCGAAGAGGAGGTGGCCTAGGCTTCTTGCCATCACTCTGCCCCTGGGGCAGACCAGCAAAGCTTTGACCCTGCCCCAAGCTGCCTCCTCCCCTCAGACCCTATGAGCATCCTCATCATGGCCCTACTAGCACCGACCAAGCCCAGAGCCCAGGTTGCTTCTACTTGTTTCCCCTTTAGCCCCTGAACCCCACTTTCCCTCCACCCCTGCCCAGCTCTTCTAATACCCATAAGCCCCCACACAGGCTTCACTTCTTTGGATCTTGACAGTCGTGTCTTTTATCCTGAGGCTATTCCCCTGCGCTCCCAAACCATTCTCCACCTCTGATAACCCCAGAGAATTCTCTAGATCTTGACTTACCCATGCCCCAACCCCCTCACCTTGCCTTACCTTTGACCTCACAGCTCCGCCATCCTGACCCAGCTCCTGTGAGACCCTGTGTGTCCCTGCCCTTGTGCCTTAGTTCAGCTTGGCTTTACCAGGGAAGAACTGGAGGGAGAGGAAAGAGAGGCCTGTGGCCTGGGGTGAGATAGCTCCTCCCCGCTGGCCACCCCACCCTGCTTCTGCTGACACCCCCCCCCCCCAATCAATAAATGAGTCATTGCTTTGATGTGGCTTTCTGTTCAATTTATTTTCTTCTCTGAGAGCAGTTGGGGAGGGGATTGGCCCACGGGGGGCAGGGGGGCACTGAAGACTGAATGAAGAAGAGAAAGAAGAACGGAAGGACATGATTGCTCCTCTGTGTGGTGGGAGAGAGGGTCTATTGTAGATGTGTGGAGGGGCATCTGGGAGAGTCCAGAGTGGACAGGAGCAGACGGAGCTGGCCATGTGAGGAGACGGGGAGGGGAGCCAAGTGAAGCAGTCAGGGGGTCCAAAAAAAGGTGTGCAACTAAAATGTCTGGATTATCTACGGAAGAGCCTCTGGGGGAGGGCAGCCCAGCCTGGACTGGAGAGCTCAGGGCAGAGCAGGATGTGCCAGCCACACCCTGTAGCGCACAGGGACTGAGGGATGCTGGGAGAGCCTGAAGGCCAGGTCCTCTTTGCTATGTTGGACCAGGTCTGAAACTTAACAAAGACCAGATCTTGGGGTGGTAGGGTACGGGGATCGCAGAGCAGGCTAGATCCCTTATCTGTGAACTAGAATAGGATCATTTGCACACCAGGAACATGGTGTCTACTCTCTTCCCTTGTTACTAAAAGTGGGGCCACAGTCTGTATGCTAAGACATCAAGTAAGATTTATTGAGTGTGGCCCACATTGGGAAAATGGACCTGAGGGCCCCTGGATTTCGTTGTCTCTCTTCCCAATGTGGCCACACTGGATACATCTTCTTTTTCTGCAGTTTGGTTTGGTTGGTTTTCTTTTTTTTTTTGGTTGGTTTTCTTGGTGTTCTTGAGTCAGGCTCTAACTATGTATCCCTGGCCATCCTGGAACTCACTATTAGCCCAGACTAGCCCCAAACTCACAGACCTCTGCCTACCTCTGCCTCCTGAGTGCTGGGATTAAAGTTGTGGCTAAATGCGCTGTTTTAATTGGCTTTTCAAGGAAGGGTAACCCCACTTGACTTGTCTTTAATCATTTTATATATTTTTTTAAATATTATGCTGGCTTTAATTTTGATTATATGCATGGGTGTATGGAAACCAGAGGCATCAGAGCCCCTGGAACTGAAGCTGTTGTGAACTTCCCATGTGTGCGGGGAACTGAACTTGCATCTTGTACAAGAGCAGTCCTCGCTCTCAACTACTGAGCCACGCCACCAGTGTCCTCGGGTACAGATGGGGACCCTAAGGTCAGTAACACCCAGGCTTGTCTTTGGTCAGTTCTGTGACTTCTTTCAGTGAGGTAGGTGTATGAGGGTGTGCGTGCGTGTGTGTGTGTGTGTGTGTGTATGAGGGGTGTATATGGGAGATGTGTATGAGACGCTTGTGTATGTGTATAAGGTATGTTGTATATGAGGTTTGGTGTGTGTATGAGGTGTGTGTGTGCATGAGGTGCATATATGAGGGATGTATATGGGATGAGGTGTGTGCACACACCACTTTACCTGAGTTCTGAGCCTCTCTGCATCTCCACCAGGACCCCACCAGGCCTCCACCAGGCTCCACCAGGCTCCACCAGGCTCCACCAGGCCTCCACCAGGCCTCCACCAGGTTCCACCAGGCTCCACCAGGCCTCCACCAGGCCTCCATCAGGACCCAACCAGGCCTCCACCAGGCCTCCATCAGGACCCCACCAGGCCTCCACCAGGCCTCCACCGGGACCCCATCAGGACTCCTGCGTTCACCCTGCCCTTCAATATAGTTGCACCCCTGTAAATGAAACAGAGACACAACAAGGAGAAATTATCTGGGTGGTCTTCACAGACCTTTAGTACTCAGGGGACTCAGAAAGAGGACCTGGGTGTGACCATGGGGACCATAAGGGTGAAGAGGGACCTCCCAGCCTGCTTCTCGCCCACCCTGTCCCCACCTAGGCTAGGAAGCCAGGACGCCTAAATTGCATGCAGTGGGTGGGGGCAGGGGCCTCCTTTGCCTGGGACGTCACCCTGTTAAACTTCCTCTCTCAGCCACACAGGAAGTTAAGCAGATCAGGGGCCCTGCCCCAAGCAAGCACAGGCTCCCCAGCCCCAGGAGCCCCGGTAGGGAAAGGGCCCACCTGGGCCAGCCCTACGGAGACCATGGGATCCACAGAGAAGTAAGAGCTCTTTCTCCTCCATCCTGTGCTGCAAGGTTACTGGGCCTGAGATGGGGGTGGGGGGAGACTAAAAAACTAAAACCATGGCAGGGGAGGGCCCAGGAGGCACAACCACCCACCCATAGGGATGGACACACATGTATGCTCAGGGCATCTATGGTTCCTCTTCTACTTTCCTGGCTCTGGATCTGTATAAAGGAAACAGGAATTTTAGGAGTCGGAAGCGCAGGAAGGGCAGGTGTTTTAGGAAGGTAGTTTCCCCGGAGGGGATGGTCGGCAGTGAGGTGGGAGAAGTTATGGTGGGAGGCTGTGTGTCAACCTTGGGGCGGGGGGTGTTCATGGGTGCCTCGTACCCGCATGATGATGAAATGCTGGAGGTACCCACGTCAGGGTGTAATTGGGTGAGAAAGTGTGTCGGCCTCTGAAAGCTGAGACACCAGCATCTTCTTCGAGAAGCAGCAGGAAAGGGGAGGCTGAGGGGCTTGCAGTTCAATGCCAGAGTACCTTACTCTCCTTTTTCTGCTGTGAAGTGTGGACCTCACGAAATCTCCCTCAGAAAGACAAGGGCGAGCCTTAAAGATGCTCAAAGGCACAGGGAGAAAAAAGACAAGACACTGGTTACACACTTGAGACACTGCAGCTCTGCCCTACAGATCTAAGAATCTACAGATGTCAGACAGAATCACAAGTATGAATCACACACACACATACACAAGTGCTTTTCACACTCAGACACACCATCACAGGCACGAATGTACCTCCCCATCTCTGTTGTCTCTGTGTGTGTGTGTGTGTGTGTGTGTGTATGTGTGTCCCCAGTCTCTCTCCCTCTCCCTCTCTTTCTCTCTCTCTCTCTCTCTCTCTCTCTCTCTCTCTATCTATCTATCTATCTGGAGACAGGGTCTCAGTATGTAGCCCTGACTGACCTGGAACTCATATATAGATCAGGCCGACCTTGAACCCACAGAGATCTGCCTGCGATTAAAGTTATGGTCACCATGCTGGCTTCCTCTCTTTTTCCTTCTCTTCTCTGCCTACCCCCCTTCTTCTTCAGCAGCATCCACCCAGCTCCACCCCTCAGGGCGCCCTCACGAACACACCTAGTTACACACACTTGTTCAGAATAGAGGACACACACACACACACAGAGAAGCACAGACATAGAACTGGAACCCCTCCCTCTGCTAAAGACCCCTCACGCCCACAGAAAACCCCCTGCAGCGTTTGACTGGTTCTTCGAAGCGAGCCGCCCCCACACCCTGGAGGATGGTGAGTATGAAGGGCTGAGGCTGGAAGGATGGGAGGGAGGACCCGAGGGCTGTAAGATGTCAGCTTGGCAGCCTGCTCCTCCCTGCAGATCCCCAGATCCGGTGGCAGTTTCCTCCAGACTTCCGGGAACAGGTATTCAGAGAGCATCCTTGTCACCCCAGGTCTTGCCCAGCAGAGGGGTGGGGCGAGACTGACATGAACCCTGGGATACTATTTCTTCTTCTCTCTAGGAGGCCATGCAGATGGTGCCCAGGTTCTGTTTCCCTTTCGACATAGAAAGGTATGGAAGGGACAGAGAGGTGGGGACTCCCAGGCTCTTGGGTCCCAAGGACTCCCAGGGTCTAAAAAGGACCCTGACAAGTAAAGACTTAAAGGCACAGGGACCCAAGAACTGACGGACTCAGGAAACCAGGTGTTCCCTCAGAGGGGACTCATGGGGGCCTGCATGTGGAGGCCAGAGGCAGATCTAGTGCCAGTTCCCAGAAGTCAGTCCTCTCTCTCTCTCTCTCTCTCTCTCTCTCTCTCTCTCTACTTATTTTTATTTTGGGGTGTTTTGTTTTTTGTTTTTTTGTGAGACAGGGTCTCTCTACATAGCGCTGGCTATTCTGGAACTCACTATGTAGACCAGGCTGGTCTTGAACTCACAGAGCTATGCCTACCTCAGCCTCTGGGATTAAAGGCTTGTGCCACCTTGGCCACAGCCACTGTTGCCGCCACCACAACATGGCCACCTTTTCTTTTCTTTTCGTGAGCCATTTCACCAGCCCCACACTGTTTTAGTTTGATTTTGTGTTTTAGATTTCTTTCCTGTGTACAGATAGTTTTGCCTGCATGTATGTATGTGTACCACATGCATTCCTGGTGCCTAGGGAGGTCAGAAGAGGGCATCAGATACACTGGAACTGGAGTTACAAACATTGTGAGCCACCTTGTGGGTTTGGGAGCCAAACTCTGCGAGAGCAGCCAGTGGTCTAACCACTGAGCAGTCTCTCCAGTTCCTAAACACACACTCACCTGGATTTCTGAAACAAGGTCTCTCACCGGCTTGGAGGCCTTCAAGGATGCTGTACAGGCCAGCCATCCAACCCCAGGGCTTTCATGATTTACCTCCCTGGCTCTGCCGGCTCTGGGGTTGTAAGTGTTCACCAGGACACCAGATTTAATTCTTCTCTTTATTATGACTGTGTGTGTATGGTGGGCGTGTGTGCTTGTGCCATAGGAGTCCAAGGTCAAAGAATAATTTTGTGGAGTTGGTTCTCTCCTTCCACCATGTGGTTCTCTAGAGATCAAACTCTCACCTCCAGGTTGTATGGCAAGCACCTTTTTTTCTGATAAGCCACATCCCTGGCCTCCAGATTTTCTTTCTTTCCAAAGATGGGCATAGGGGTTAGAACTCAGGTCCTTGGTCTTACAGGGCACGCATCTTGGGGATGGAGCTGTGAGACTGGCTTCCAGGACTCAGAGTTCCTGACTCAAGGGAACCCACAAAATACTGAGCTCAGACATCAAGCAAACAAAGAAACCATGCTATCTTGGGTCATCTGTGGGGTGTGGCAGGAGGAGTGGGAGGCAAGGAAATCACGCGAGAAATGCCCAGTCTCCACCAGAGCCTTTCCCCCGCAGGGAGCCGCCCAGCCCTGCGGTCCAGCATTTCACCTTCGCCCTCACTGACCTGGCCGGCAACCGTAGATTTGGCTTCTGCCGCCTGCGGGCCGGCGCCTGGAGTTGCCTCTGCATCCTCAGGTGGGTGACATTGGGGACCTGAAACCAAGTAAGAACAGATGGGAACAAACACCAGGCCTCGTGATGAACACGGAAACCCACACTGGTCAAAATGTCTGGGACTGCAGAGTGTCCAGCCCCAAACGGGACGGACGTGTGTATCACTGCCCTCTACACAAGGCTGAGGGACTATTTTGGACATGGGGGCCAAGAGACTATCAGAGCCAAAGGCCAGAAGGACCAGAATAAAAGTGTCTCCTGGATGTAATAGAGCCCATGCTCATGAACACACCATCAAGCCAGCCCAGTTCCCAGCATGGTTGGCGGGGTGGGGAGCATTCTTCTCTTGGGAGACTTGCACTTTGTAATTGATGGCCCTAATCCCATGCACTTACAGATAACACCCAGTGGACTCAATGGGTTTTTTTTGGGGGGGGGGGGTTGTTCTGCGAGTTTGAAACAGGGTCTCACTCTGTAGCCCTGGCTAGACTGGAACTCATTATGTAGACCAGGCTGACCTCAAACTCCCAGAGATCTGCCTCCAGAGAGCTGGGATTAAAGATGTGCACACCACACTTGACTGATTTAGTAGGTTTTAAAAACAGCTTTGCATGAAGTTGAAAGGGGAAAGGTGGTGGTGGCGGGGGGGGGGGGGGCGGACAATAAAGGGTGGGTATAGGGTGGATTTGATCAAGATACATGGTGTGCAAAAATTCTCAAACTGTAAACCTATAAAATCACCGAGTCCATCAAGGGCACTTTCTAGCCCCCAACCCCTCTGCCTTCTCTCTCTCCAGCCACCTTCCCTGGTTTGAAGTGTTCTACAAGATCCTCAATACTGTGGGGGACCTCCTAGCCCAGAACCAAGTGAGAGCAGCCCCTCCCACAGGCTCCACCCCACCCCTCCATTCCTCTCACCCTCGCTGAGGCTGTTCTCAGGACCCCACAGCCTGAGTGGAGACCCTCAGAATCCCAAATCGACCCTCGGGGCAAACTCCTCCCAAATCCCTCAGGTCTCAGAGGCTGAAGAACTACTACAGAACTTGCAGCAACACCCTCTTCCTGAACCAGGGTTTTCAGGAGAACCAGAGATGGTGAGTAGCTCCCAGGTCTTTGGCGCTGGCTTCTTGGCGGTGGAGGCTGCCAGCTGAGCTGGGCAGGGGCAACCACACAGTTACTCCTGTCCCCTAGGGCAGCAGCTCGACCATCTGGAGCAAGTGTGGGATCCTGCCGCCTACTCTGGGGAATAGCAAATTGGTGAGTGAGGCTGCCTCCCCCCACCCCACAGGCCCCCACCTTGCCGCCTTGGTTGAGGCCACCATCATCAGCGCAGACTGACTGACTCTTCTCCCCGATGTCCCCATCAGCTTTCTTGTTTTGTGGCCCCGGATTCTGCCGGCCTGCCATCTATTCCTGAGAACGTGAGTAAGGAGGACGCAGAGTGAAGGATAAAGGTGGGATGGTGGATCTCGGCTGTTCACTCCACTCCCAGGCGCTGTGTTTTTCCGTCCCCCAGAGGAATCTCACGGAGCTGGTGGTTGCCGTTAAGGATGAGAACATCGTGGGGCTCTTCGCAGCACTGCTGGCTGAGAGGAGGGTCTTGCTCACCGCCAGCAAGCTCAGCACTGTGAGGGCGGGGACCTCCTCCCTTTGGGACTCTAGGCTCCTAAATGAGGATGCTGCACAGTGGCCCTTCCTCACTGACAGCACAATCTAGTACAGGCACATCCACCAAGGACCAGGCCTGGCCTAGCTCTGCCCCAGATGGGGATGTGGCTCAATGGGTAGAGCCTTCGCCTAGACAGCATGAGGCCCTGGGTTCCATTCCCATGATGGCCTTAACCAGACCTAGCAGGCACGGTGTTGTGATCGCAGCACCCCAAGCCTGGTACCCTGAGCCTAAGGCAGGAGGATCAGAAGTTCAAGATCACCCTGAAATAAATACCTAGTTTCAGGCTAGCCTGACACATGAGATTCAGGTCTAGATAGATAGATAGATAGATAGATAGATAGATAGATAGATACATACATACATACATACATACATAGATACATACATAGATACATAGACAGAGAAATTAAAAAAATTCTAGGGCCAGTGATATGGAGCAAAGGTGCCTACAGCCAAGTCTTTAGGACCTGAGTCCAATACCCAGGGCACACATGGTGGAAAGGAAGATGGACCTGATCTGACTCCTACAAATTGTCTTCCAATGTGTACAAGTGAGCGTGTGTGTGCGCGCACACACACATAATCACGCACAAGTAAACACAATTTTATTATTATTTTCTGTTCTGCTTTTTTGTTTGTTTGTGTCTGAAGACAGGGCTGCTCTGTAGCTTTGGAGCCTGTCCTGGAACTAGCTCTTGTAGACCAGGCCTCGAACTCACAGAGAGTTGCCTGCCTCTGCCTCCTGAGTGCTGGGATTAAAGGCGTGCGCCACCACTGCCAGGGCTCCTGTTCTTATTGTATGTTCTACAGTATTTTTAAAGTTTTTGCTTGTTTTTTTTTTTTTTAATGTGTCTGTCTGTTTGCGAGCTGGAAGAAGATGCCCTGGAGCAGGAGTTAGAGACAGTTGTGAGCAGCCTTGTGGTGGCTGAGAACTGGTTCCTCAGCCGCCTCTCCTGTCCCTCAAGTGTATTTCTGTGTTTTGGCTTTTGTTTGCATTTTTGCTTTGTTGGTTTTTTGTTTTGTTTTGTTTTGTTTTTCAAGACAGGGTCTCACTCTGTAACCCTGGCTGTCCTGGAACTCTCTCTGTAGACCAGGCTGACCTTGAACTCAGAGATTAGCTTGCCTCTGCCTCCCAAGTGCTGGGATTAAAGGTGTATGCCACCACTGCCTAGCTGGGTTTTGGTTTTATGGGTTTTATGATTCTGGGTTGAGACCCAGAACTTTGCATGAGCCAAGCGAGCCCTTATTCCCGGCCCAGATCCTCAGTATTAGCTTTGTGTGAGGGTTTGTTTATTTGCTTGCTTTGGTGCTGGTTTTGTGAAATTACATCTTACTGATTCTGCTTGTGATGGGGCCTGTGTCCATCCACAGCAGGAATTGTTCCTTTCCTTTCACTATATGGGGTCCTGGGAATCGAACTCAGATCCTCAGACTTGGCCACAGGATCCTTTATTCTCTGAGTCATTGCTCCCACCCTGTTTTGTTGGGGTGTTGTTTGTTTTATTTTGTTTCTGAGACAGTCCCACTCCAGTCCACACTGACCTAGAACTCGCTCTGTAACTGAACCTGGTCTCAAACTTACAGCAACTCCCCTGACTCCACCTTTTGAGCGCTGGGATTGCAGGGCAGAACCACCGCATGGAATTCAGTTTTTTTCTTTGTTATGTTTTGTTTTGTTTTTTATCTGAGCACAAGAAGTTGTAAATGGCCAAAATCTTGGTCTCCACTTCCTTCCTAAAGGGGTCTGAGTTTCACTCAACTCCCTAGCAATGGATGGAGGGGACAGGAGAGATTGGGGAGGTCTAAGCTCCCATCTCAGTGATCCAGGTCCCTGAAGTGGGAATCTAAGGCCTAATTCCACCACCTCCCCCTCCTTCTCACCCCACAGCTGACAGCCTGCGTTCATGCATCCTGTGCTTTGCTCTACCCCATGCGCTGGGAGCACGTCTTGATCCCCACGCTGCCCCCACACCTGCTGGATTACTGCTGGTGAGAAAAGAGGGGGTTGGGGGAGATGAGGAAGGGTAGGCAGAGGGAGAGCCTGGAGCGTTGCTAACCTTTAATCCTTGGGAGACAGAGGCAGGAGGATCTCGTTGTATTCCAGGCTAGCCATGTCTATAGTGAGGTTATTTCACAAAAAGTTAAAAAAAACAAAAGTTAAAAAACGAGTTCCAGGCTAGCCTGGTCTACATAAGGCTAGCATAGGCAAAGGGCTAGGGGGTGGGGTTAAAGCAAGCACCACCTCCTTCTCCCGTCTCTCCACAGTGCGCCCATGCCCTACCTCATCGGAGTCCACGCCAGTCTCTCTGAGGTGAACCGCTGAAACCCCCAAGGCTAGGGCTGGGGAGGGATTCTTTTCCCTACCTCCAGTTCCTCAAAGCCTCCTACTCTGTGTGGGGCTCTGAATGACAGCCCGCGTTTGTCTCCTGCAGAGAGTTCGGGAGAAAGCACTGGAAGACGTAGTGGTGTTGAACGCCGACTCTAACACACTGGAGACGCCGTTTGACGACACGCAAGCACTGCCCCCAGACGTAGTCAGTACCACCTCTTCCCACCTCCTACTCCCTTCTCCAGATGGAGCCTCCAATCCCTGCCCATCTCAGGGTCTCTCCTGTGTTACCAGGTGTCCCTGCTGAGGCTTCGGCTGAGGAAGGTGGCGCTGAGTCCCGGGGAAGGGGTGTCCCGTCTCTTCCTCAAAGCCCAGGCTCTGCTCTTTGGAGGGTACCGCGACGCGCTTGTTTGCATCCCGGTGAGCAAACGGAGAGGGGAGATGCCCAGGGACAAGCCTTGTGGTTTACAGTCTCACGTAGCCTAGGCTGGCCTCAAACTCAATGTGTAGCCCAGGATGACCTTGAACTCCTGACCCTCTTGATTTTTTTTCTTGAGACTGGGTCTCTTGTAATCCAGGCTGTTCTGGAGCTCACTATGTAACCCAGCAGCAATCCTCCTGCCTCAGCTTCCCACACTATCAACGTTAATTAATGCTGATAACCACACTACAGATGAGGATGAGGTGTCCCATGAGGCTCTGCACAGGGGTCAGGTACACAGCAGGCGCCCAATCAGTGCTTGCTAGGTGTGTTATGAGGCCGAAATGGAGATAGTGAGAGACAGAAGAGCCGTAGGGAGCTCTGGAAGGAATCCTTCTTCCAGGGTCAGCCGGTGACCTTCAGTGAGGAAGCCTTCTTGGCTCAGAAGCCGGGGTCGCCGCTACAGACCTTCCACAAGAGGGCAGTACACCTGCAGCTGTTCAAGCAGGTGCGCCTTGGACGGGGGTTGGGGATGGGGGGGGGGAAGCTAGGGAGGCTGGGGGCAGGACCTAAGGTGAGGAATAGGATGGACTGCCTGACACTGGAGGCGGGGCCTAAGGAGAGGGGCGAAGCTTCTCCCTGAGGGCGGAGCTTAGGGGAAAGGAAGGCAGCTTCGTTCTGGGGGCGGAGTCTAAGGTGAGGACTAAGGATGGGTTGAGGGGCGGGGCTTAGGGGACAGGGTGAGGATGGATTTGGGAACAGATCTTGATTTCAGAGGCCAAGTTGGATGATGCCTAGTTTCTAAGTTTGTTGATTCCTGAGGCCTCAGGAGGCACCTTCTATGTCTTCAGGGGACAGCAGGCACTTCCTGGTGCTTGTGTCTAACCCTCTCTCCCTACCCCAAGTTCATCGAAACCCGACTGGAGAAACTCAATGCTGGGGAAGGCTTCTCAGACCAATTCGAGCAAGAGATCATTGCCTGCTGTGGGGCTTCCTCAGGTGAGCCCCAGGGCTCTCACTTCATCAGCTCCCCAAGCGTAGGCCTGCCTTGGTAATCACAGCTCTCTCCCTTTCTCCAGGCGCCCTGCGCTCCTACCAGCTCTGGGTAGAGAGTCTTAAGGTAATAAAGCAATCCCTTATCCTGTCCACAACCAACTTCATCACCTAATCGCCCACCACAGTCCCCATGAAGGGGCTTTGTTAAGTTACCCGGTGGAGGCACCCGGGGGGCGGGGGAAGTGGAGTGTGGGCTCCAGCCGTGGTGACCTCTGGGGCCCAAGTTTCTCCCCTGTGGTGTTTGCTTCCCCAACCCCCTACAGAAAGGTGGCGATGCCCTCCTGCATTCAATGAAGGCCAAAACCCGACCAGCTGTCAGAAACATGTACAGATCGGTGAGACTTGGGTGGCCACGGGGAAGACAGAGGGAGTCTGTGTTGTGTGTGTATGTGCGCGCACGTGTGTGCCTGTGCATTTAGAAGCCAGAGATTGGCATTCTTACACACTGTCCACTTTGGGATTTGTTTTTGAGAGAGGGTCTCACTATGTGGCCCTGGCTGGCTTTGAACTTACAGAGACCCACCTGTCTCTGCCTCCTGAATGCTGGAACTGGTGTGCCCCACCACACCTAGTGGCTTGGGGAGAGGGAGTTGGGTGGTTACATTTATTTATGTTGAGTATGTGTGCCGCGGTGCATGTATGGAAGTCAGAGGACAACTTGTATTAGCCAGGCGATGGTGGTGCACACGTTTAGCCCAGCACTGGAGAGGCAGAGGCAGGTGGATCTCCTGTGAGTTCTAGACCAGCCTGGTCTACAGAATGAGTTCCAGGATAGCCTGGGCTACACACAGAGAAACTCTGACTCAAAAAACCAAAATGGTTGCGTCCTTTCACCATGTGGGTCCCAAACGTGGGAACCACACTCAAGCCACCAGGCTTGGCAGCCGCCCCCACCACTACACTACTTGCTGGCCCTCCCCTTGCTTTCTGAAACAGGAACCTGGAGCTGACTGGGCTAGCCTGACTGACCAGTGCTCCAAAGCTTCCCCTCTCTCCCCAGTCCTAGCATTACAGGCACACACCACGACTTCCAGCTTTTTCTGTAGAAGGGAAGAGTTTAACTGTGTCTGCTCTCCAGCCTGACAGAGATGTCTCGAGTACTCACAGATGACTGGACATTTTGATTCCAACAGACATTAAACATGCACTTAAACCAAGCCGTGGTGGCGCACGCCTTTAATCCCAGCACTCAGGAGGCAGAGGCAGGCGGATCTCTGTGAGTTTGAGACCAGCCTGGTCTACAGAACTAGTTCCAGGGCTACACAAAGCTACACAAAACAAAACACACTTAAAAGCATTCGCAAATTCTTCTATGCTTGGTTTTCATCTGTCATTTCTTGTGTGTGTGTGTGTGTACGGGCATACCCGTGTGCTGGTGTGCTTACTGGCCTGCTTGTACATGCACTGCGTGTGCAGTACCAGTGGAGGCCCAAAGAGGGTGTTGGATGCACTGCACTGGAGATCCAACAGTTTCAGGCAGTTGTGAGCCACCTGATGTGGATGCTGGGACTTGAACTTGAGTTCTCTGCAAGAACAGCAAGTGTCCTCAGGCAATGAGCCATCTCTCGATTTCCACAAACAAGCAAATTCCTGAGTCTGAGGCCAATCTGAGCTACAGAGTGAGTTCTAAGACAGCCAGGGCTACACAGAGAAACCCTGTCTCAAAATAAATAAATAGATAGAAAATTTATAATAATAAAAGTTAGGACTGACAAGATGGCTGGCTCTTACTGCCAAATTTGACAACCTACCTTTGATCCCTAGAATCCACATAAGAGAGAAGTGACACCCCAATTTGTACTCTGCTCTCCCTACTGCCATAGCTCATGTACCCCCCTCCAAATAAAACACATACATAAGTAAAATTAAGCACACACACTGACAGCCAGGATTGTTCGACTACCTTTGTTACTCAGCTTCCATCCTTTTTTTTTTTTTTAAATCTGGAGCGCAGACCAGCTTTTACAGTTCAGATCATTTGATTTTAACCCTAACACATGATGGTCAAACCTTTAGTTTATGGCAGGGCGACTCCCTCCAAGAATATTGTACATTAGTCAAAGGTACAAAAATAGCTTGGAAGATACAAAGATGGGGTGGGTGGCAGATCTAACAGTGCTGGTCATCGTCCTAGGCTAAGAGTGGCCTGAAGGGTGTGCAGAACCTGCTTATGATTAAGGTGAGATGACTCGGGGGGGCCTCCCCACTCACAGGTGATTCAGGAATGTGGGGATGGTACCTCAGGCCACATGTGCATCCCTTCACAGGATGAAGACTCTGGCCTTCAGAGGGGGGGCTCCCTGAGAACCCCGAGCCTCATCAGCCGCTCAGATCGCCTGCAACAGCGCCTGCCTATCAGCCAGCACTTTGGGCAGGTGAGGACGCCCACCCTGTTCCCCCACACACACCACAGACGCACATACCATGCATTCATACATACATGCACACACACCACAGATTCTCCCCAATTCCCCCACTCATTCCCAACGTTCACCAAACTATTCCCCTTTTATTTCAATGTAGATCTCACTGTAGCTCAGGCTATCCTCAGACTTGCTATACAGCCAAGTATGATTTTGAACTGATCCACCACTCCCATTTTAAAAGGTGCTAGAGATCAAACCCAGTGCATGGTAGGCAAGCCCTCTACCGAGTTGCATCCTCTCAGCTCCTTGGTTTGAGGGATTTTGTTTGTTTGTTTTTTAGACCAAACTCATCTCAAACTCAGAGGTTCATTCCAGTCCTTGTTTTGTTTTTTGGAAACGTCCCACTATGTAGCCATAGCCAGCCAGGATTCAATTTGCAATGATCCTCCTGCCTCAGGCTGCAGGTACCAAAAGGAGAGAGGAGCATTAACATACCTAGCTCGCTCTTCCAGCCCCAGCAGCTCCTGGGCCCCTCCCCATTCTTCCTCCCTTATCTTTTTCAGAACAGACCCCTCCGCCCTAGCAGGAGATTCAGGCGGGAAGGGGTACCTTCCCAACCCCTCAGGGAAAGGTAAGAATTAAAGCAGGTCAAAGTTGGAGGTGCAAGGGTCATGGCAGATGAAGAGGGATTTCTCTAGACCCTGGAGCAGCCCAAGGAAGATCAGGATGTCCATCCTCAATCCAGGAGTCCTACCTTGAGCCCCAAGGACACCCAGAGTCCCTGGGCAGAGGAAACTCTAGATGGCAGCTTCCTGGGGTCTGGAGAACTGGATCTGTTGAGCGAGATTTTAGACAGTCTGAACATGGAAACCAAGAGTGGTGGCCGGCTGAGGGCCAGCCAGAGCTTGGACTGCTGCCAGCAGGAGGCATCGGAGAGCTGCTTCAGCCTGGTAAGACCTTCACTGTGCCCTCCCAACCTGTCCCATCCCCACCTGACCTCAACCACCCCCTGACCTGCTCTTCCCAGCCTGACAGCCCAGCGAGGTCACCATGGCAACTAGAAGATGATACACAATCTCTGGAAGCCCAGCCCTGGTCTTTGCCAGAGGACCTGCCGTCTCTGCAGGACACCCCATCTTTAGAGGTGGCAAACTATTATGAGAACTGTTCTGAGCCCTCAGACATCTCTCCTCCAGCATCTTCAGCCACTTCAGTAGACCCAAGCAGCCGAGAACCCGAGAGTTCTGCTCCCACCGAGCTGGACCCTAGAATCCCACAAAGCCCTTGCTCCAGGCTCCTCATAGTGCCCAGCACTCCAGACAGCCCCCAACTTCTTGCCTCCACAGAGCACAACCCTGACACTGTCGGGACATTACAACCCATTCAGTCTCCCTCACACCTCAGTTCTCCAGAGAGCCCCAGAAACCAGCCTCTCCAGGTCCTGAGTAATCAGACTCGAGCCCAAACCCTCAAGGAGCTGGGAGTAACCAACTGGCAGGGGCCCCCAGTCAGGCAGCCTCGCGTGGCTGAACTGAAAAAGTGTTTTGAAAAGTAAAAACAAGGGTGCAAAGGCACCCAGCTCCCAATAAAGCTGATTTTGTTCTCCTTGATAAGTTTATCTGGGGCCTCCGTCAGCTCAGAAACCTACCTCATTCATGCCTGGAAGCAACCTCTAACCATCTTTAAGGTTCACCTGAAGCTCCACCCCCCACCCCACCCCCATTTCCAGTTTGTTAGGGACCTCAAAAAGCTTACACTTCAAATCGAATTCATCTAAGCTGATGTTCCCAAAAGCTAAAAAAAAAAAAAAAAAGAAAGAAAAAAAAACGCTTTATTATACCTTACTATTAATTTCACATAAATATATAAAAGTGAGTAGCCCCATCCTCCCTTTCCCTCAAAGTCAAGGTCTTTGAAGAACTTTCTTCCCTTCTATCTTTAAGCATTGGGTGAGTCTGATCGCCCAGAGGGTGCTGCCTTCCCCCAAGGTCACACAGCAAAGTATGGAAGGTGGGTGACAGGGAGGAGGGGGAAGGAGCTAGATGGGCAGGCAGCCCCGCACTGGCTCCTTGGAGTCCTGGGGGGCCCGGGCCTCAGCTGATGCCTGGGAAAACTGAAAGAAAGGACAGGAGGTTTGTTGGGCCTGCAGTCACGGTAGGAGACACAGCAGAGCAAGACCACATGAGATGAATGGTGAGGTGAGGCCCCCGGCTGCAGCACCCCAGCTTCATGCAGAGCCAAGCGGAGGCAGCATGCTGCGTAGCCCACCAGCCGGGTGCCCCCAGCGTTCCCCACCCCGAGTCCTCTTGAGCCATCAGAGGCTGGCGTGTCTCCAAGGTGGCTGCTGTGGACCAGGGTGTGCCAAGGCAGTCCTAGGTGGTGGTGGCAGCCTATGGCCGACACCCCGGCGTTCAGATGAGCCGCTCCTCCGGGGGCAGCTTGAGGTTGGGGGGTGGTGGAGCACGGGCACCCACCTGCTCCTCACTGCTGGGCCGGTAGGTGCCCTCTGTCTGGCGCTTTTCTCGAAGTTTCCGCATCAGCAGGAATAGCCCCACCGCTAAGAGGATGACTCCCAGGATGGAAAAGACCACAGCGATGGCTACAACAGCCTCTGAAGACTGCAGAGAACATGAGGGGGGACCGGTGTGACCACCTGCATGCGGGCCCTACTCACCCCACCTAGTCACCCAGCAGGGTCCTCAGACACCTAGAAACACCACCTCAGCACCTCTCACACGGGTGCCTCTGTCTCTAGCCACGTCCCCTTCACACCTGCCCACTCTGGGCTACCTATGAGGGTTCGGGGTTCTCTTGTCCTCCCTTCTTTTCTCCTTCCTTTTGTGTTCTCTGTTTATTTGGTCAGAGTCACAGGTAGCCCAGGCTGGTCTTGAACTTATTATAGAATTAAAAATAACTCTGAATTTCCTGCCTCCTCCTCCATAATGCCAACGCTGGGACAACAGGCTTGAGTCACCATGCCCATCCCTGTTATGGTATTTTGATATAGTCCCATCTATATACCCCAGGCTGGCTTTGATTGTGGCGATCCTCCTGCCTCAGCCTCCTAAGTGCTAAGGTATGGGTATCACCATACCCATAAGGCAAGACACAGTATTCTTTTTTTTAAGACAGAAACTTACTGTAGCCCTGGCTAGCCTGGAATTCATTAGTAGACCAGGCTGGCTCTGTCTGCCCCTTTCTCCAGAGTGTGTGGGCCACCACACCCAGCAAGACACAATATTCTTAACATTCTTGTACACCCTTATATAGAAAGGTCTTGCTACCCTGTGTCTGGGATTCTTATTGTGTGTTTGTTTTAAAGGGGGTTTCTCTGTGTAGCCCTGGCTGTCCTGGAACTCACTCTGTAGACCAGGCTGGCCTCAAACTCACAGAGATCCGCCTGCATCTGCCTCCTAAAGTACCGGGATTAAAGGCGAGTGCCACCACTGCCCAGCACTGTCTGGGACCATAAGTCATCCTGTTGCTGTGGCTTCATGGGTAGAGCGTTTGCCTGGCATGTGGACCCTGGGTTTGACTCCAGCATCCCATAGACCCAGAGCTGAGGGGAAGGCAGAAGGATCGGGAGTTCAAGGTCATCTGGCTACAGAGGAAGTTAGAGGCCAGCCTGAGCTATGCCAGACCCCAGGGCTAGGGCTGGGAACAACCTTACTAATAATAGAGTCTCTCTATTGCCCATGCTCTCTCATACACCTGCGCTCACTGCTTGCACCCCCTCCCAACTCACCAGGCCCCCACTGGAATCAGGGTCTGGGGATGGAGTCGTGCTATTGAAAGGGTCCAGGGCTGTGGCTGTGAAAGAGAAAAAGGAAAAGTCTATGCCAGGCTCTTCACTCGTCATCACACACACATACACATATACACACACACACACACACACCCCATACACACACATACACACACACCCCATACACACATACACACACATATACACCCCATACAAACACATATACACCCCATACACACACCATACACACATACACACCCCATTCACACAATACACACACATACACATACACACACACACCATACACACACATACACACCCCATACACACACACATACACACACTATACAAACACACCATACACACACCCCATACACACACACACACTATACAAACACACCATACACACACCCCATACACACACAAACACACACATACATACCATACACACACCCCATACACACACAAACACACACATACATACATACCATACACACATACACACACATACACACCCCATACATACACACACACTATACACACACACCATACACACATAAACACATACATACATACCATTCACACACATACACACACCATACACATACACACACACCATACACACACTATACACACACATACACACCCCATACACACACCCCACTCAGCCTTGTAAACTCCTTCCCAGTCTCCAGTTGGAAGAGACTGCTGGTACTGCCAGGCCACCCACCCAATCCACCCTCAAGTGTGGTATTGGTTTCTGTGGCCACTCTTAGCCCAGTAGGGGATAATCTGGCCAAAGTCACCACTGTTAGCCAGACCATTATAATAAATGGCTTCCAGGACAGTGTCCCCACCACCACCACCACCACCATCACCCTGGCCCAGGATTCTTAAGGACCTGGGCGGGGCTCAACCTTTCCCTGGAGTGTGTGACTCACACTGTCCCGTCTCCCCCCCCCCCCCAAGGCTCCCGAAACTGGAACCAGAGAGACAGAGGGAAGGTCTGGCTGGGTCCACACCTACTGACTGGCCCTTGCCAATCCTGTCAGCTGGGCCTTCTGGCCTCCTCCAGGTCCCCTGGCTGCTTAAGACTCTCAACTATGCAGACTCAGGTGCCCTGGCTCTCCTCCCCTCCTCCACCTCCCGGCTCTGCCCAACAACCCCCAGCTCCAAATTCCACAAGACTTAAGGACTCAGGAATTCTGGACTGTGGGTGTGGGGTCTGCATGATGGCAGAGCGCTTGCCCAGCTTGCAGGAGACTGTGGGTTCGAGCTCCAGCAACGCAAAAAAAGAAGAGAAGAAAAAGGGAGGGAGGAAGGGAGGGGGAGGAGAAAGAGAGAGAGAGAAGAAAAAAGAAAGAAAGAAAGAAAGAAAGAAAGAAAAATGGTTCAGAGGTTCACCACTGTTAGCCAGACCATTATAATAAATGGCTTCCAGGACAGTGTCCCCACCACCACCACCATCACCCTGGCCCAGGATTCTTAAGGCTAGACTAACCTGTAGTTCGGCCCTAATGCCTAATGCTTTAGGACCTGGTCCCCAAACACAATCCAAACCCATTCCTCAGACCTTTCACCCTCTCTGGGTCGCAAATGCCCAGTCCGGCTGTGTTCTACCAGGGAACCCTCCTCTCACCCCATCGCCTACCGAGATGGTACCTACGCGCTTGGCTCCAACCAGCGGGCAGCATCGGCAGACCAACTGCCAGAAGTAGCCCCAGGCCTGGGGTCGCCATGAGCTTGGACGATGAGTTGGTGGCGCCAAGGGCAGGACTTCCCCAGGGCTCCAATTCCTACCGCATCTTGGGTCGAGGAGGACACCTGCGACTCGGGACCTGGGGACCAGACCAAAGGAGAGGCCGCAGCGTGGGGTTGGGGGCTGAACCCGCTGGGCTCAGGCCCCAGCGACGGGCGACCGAGCTTGGAGTGCGGTCCCCGCCCTCGGCGCCAAGGGTCAAAGATTAAAGATTAACTCTCGGGCCGCGTTCCTGGGCCAGGAGAAGCGAAGGAGGAGTTCGAGACAGGCCAGGCTGCGCGCCCTGCCTCCCTACCTGGCCCGGGCGTCTCAGAGGAACTTGGCGCAGGTTCCCAATTCCGGGTCCCCGGCTGGAACCCCGAGTCGCTGTCCTTCACTCCGTCGCTCCCGATCCCACCCGCCCCGCCCGCTCACGTGACCCGGAAAGTTTAGTCACCCACCTAGGCAGGGAGCGCACTTCCGGCTTGTGCACCTGAGCCCGGCTGAGAGGGGCGGGGCCGAGGGGGCGGGGCCGCACCGCGGGAGCACCTGTAACGGGAACCCCATTGCGCCGGGGAGCAGCGCGGAAGGCGGAAGTGAGCAGGTGCAAGGACCGCACACCGGGGTTCCTCGGTAGCACAGGTGTGCAGGCGCAGGGGGCGTGGCGACAGCCAGGAAGATACACACCTGTAAGGGGCCGGCTCTGATGCGTACGTAACACTGAAGAATTCAAACCTGAAGTCAGGCCTGGTGATGCAGGTATTCAGGAGGCTGAGGCAGGAGGATCCAAGTTCAAGGCCAGGCTAAGCAGCTCTGTGAACCCCTATTTTAAAATAAAAAAAGGAAAAGAGGGCTGGGGCATGGCTCAGGACCAGAACACTAGAATCATCTACGAAACGTCAGAGGACATGGCTCAGGAGTAGAGTTCCTGTCTAGAAAGCCATAGTGATGGGATTCCCCACCCCCCCCCCGCCCCCGTCATGGATTCCGCCCTGGCATTCATGAGACCCTGGGTTCTAGCTTTAGTCCCACAATCAATCAACCAACCAACCTGTATGGGACTAGAAAGATACACACGCGGACCTGTAAGTGTAGTGTAGTGAGAACACCTGCTTCAAGTCACACCTGTGTGAAAAAGACACCTAGACAAAGCGCCTGTGCAGAATTTCGTTCTTGAAGGCCTTCCATCCTCACTGAAGGACATCCGCAGAGGGAGCTCCACAAACTGGTTTATTGTGTATGAGGTTCATCTGTCAGGGAAGTGTCCAAGAAAGCACCTGTGTCCCCATGGCACACACAAAGAAACACCTGTGCGTGGAAACATCTGGTAGAAGGGGGCTGCGTGCGACTCTCGTCTGCTCCCCACACATGTATGGGCGCAGCCTGGGTGGGAATTACATAACCTCTGGATGCATCTTTGGGGAAAAGGTAGTCATGAACCGCATATGATATGGGTGGATGCATCTTTGGGTAAAAGGTAGTCATGAACCGCATACGATATGGTGGCACGCGATTACATCCCAGCCATTGGGAGTCTGAAGCTGAACTGCAGCACGCTCAAGGCCTGCAGAGTGAGACGCTGACTCAAAACATCAGTAACAACAACAACAAATGGGCATACAGCTGAAGCTGGGGTCCACTTGCTGGAGTGCCCTACGACACCACTGTCAAGGCACACGCCTTAAATCCAAGCAGAAGCAGGTGAATCTCTATGAGTTCCAGATCAGCCTGGTCTACATAGTGACTTCCAGGGCTAAACAGCGAGGCCGTGTCGGGAAAAACAAAAATAAAACAAACAAAACCCCCTAAGAATAAATAAAGAAGGCTTCGTCCCTTCTAGGAGTGGTGGTTTAAAATCTATTTAAATCTCTGCTCTGGCCCCAAGTGGGAACCCCAGCTGGCCTCCTCGTGCTTCCTTTGTAGCGTGGGAAAAACTAGAGCCACCTACCTACCTCGCAGTGTTTGGGCTGCTGAGCAGCAAGAGGAAGGCTGGCATGCGCAGCGCACTCAACGTTAGCTATTATTATTTGCAGTCAAGCAGGCTCCCTTCCCCCTGACGGTAAGACGAGAAACTGCACCCGAAACTTGTGGGCGGGACTTCAGCAGGTGCAACCACTGTCCCCGGCTGAGGCCCCGCCTCCAGAACCCGGCCGCCTTTCGGTCTTTATTCTCAGTGGCGCCGAGGACTCTGGACCGTGACTCCCCTTCCAGGCAGATCTGCAGAGAGCAGCCTTCTGAGAGTCCGGATGGCGTCGCGGCCCCTTTAAGAAAGCCAGGCCGGCTGCGGGAGACGGGGGCTGGAGGCTGCGGTGGTTCAATCAGGAAGCCCCGCCTACGTGGAGCGGACGGGCGCAGCTCAGGCGGTTCTGACCAATAGGAATTTGACTTTGCAGCCGCACTGCGCGTTGACCCTGCGTTTCTCTCTGCCAGAGTCACCGAGAAAAGGAAGCGCGCGGGCGGGATGAAGTGTTGGGGAGGGAGTGCTCCCCCTTGTTGATCTCCTGTTTCTGTCATCGATTGGGGAATCTGACGAGAGCGGGCGGGCAAAAGAAGCGCTTATACTGGTTCCGAGTTCTTGCGTAGGTCTGGGAGAAGCAAAAACTTGAATTCCTGATGAGGGTCCATAGGAGAGGGAGGTCGAAAGGAATGAGATTACAAAACCCAATTCCTGATAATTCCCTGCCAAACCATTTAAGGAAAAGGGGTAAACTGAGGCAAACCAAGTACTGAGGTGTTCGCCTTTCCTATCGTTCCAGGAATGCGGGCACTGTCAGATGTGCAATACCAGAGCCTCCTAGACTCCTTCCCCACGCCCCCTGCTCCGCCCCCGGCCCCCTCCCCCCAGCAATGCGGGTCGGAGGAGGAGACGCAAGTTCTGGGGCGGGCGGGTACGACTAGCGTTTATCACTTCCAGCAAGTGCCGGAGCTCGGCCCCGCAGTGCAGAGGCTGCGGTGCGGTTGATCGCGGGAGCTGGCCCTGCGGGGACCCCGGGGGGGAGGGGGAGCCGGAAAGCCCCCGCCGAGGCCGTCGCTGTGGGGCCTCCCCTCCCCCCCGGGCGGGCGCCATGAGGGGGGGTTCCGGCGACGCGGAGCGGCGGCAGCGCTGGAGTCGCCTGTTCGAGGAGCTGGACAGCAACAAGGACGGCCGCGTGGACGTGCACGAGTTGCGCCAGGGGCTGGCCAGGCTGGGAGGGGGCGATCCCGAAAGTGCACAGCAGGTACCACGGGCAGCGACCACCGCTGCAGGGCCCGCCCGCGCCGTAACCAGTGCACCTGAATGCGGTTGCACGCTACCTGTTGGCTGGACCCACCACCTCTGTCACCTCCCTTCCCCCTACCCGCTAGCGTCTGGCCTAAGGGCGTCGCGAGACAAGATTGCCAAGGCCCCGGGCCTGCAGTGCCTGCGGCTGCCAGGACCCAATGCCCCCCCCTCCCGGGCTGTTGGGTGCCTGCTAGAGAATGCACCGTAGAGCGGGAGGCTTTTCCATCCACTGCCCGGAGACACACCCTCCGCTGCTCTCCGCACGATCTGATGGGTGACCCGCTCCCACCTGCAGTGAACACAACTTCCCCACCCTGCTGGGGCACCCCAGCTGGCTCCCCTAGTCTCTTATTTACATTCCCCGCTGGTGCTTTCTTTCTGGGACCTGGCTGGTTGCCCCAGCCTGCCCCGGCCAGCCGGAGATTCAGTCTATCTGAGGCCACCCTGCCTCTACAGGGGTCCGACCTATCTAGGAAGGAATTTGAGCCTGGGTGCAGCACAGTGGTAAAGCTCTTTCCGAGCATGTGCAAAGGTCCTGGATTCCAGCCCCAGCATGGGAGGTGGCAATGGCGGTGAAAAGAGGCAAGAACTGGCCCTTCCTCCGTGTGTCACAGGTGTCCCTTACACCTGAGCCCCTAGATGTACCTGAAACAGACCTGTTGCATCTTTGTTGACCTTGAGTCTAAGGTCCCACTTTTCCCGTGGGAATGTAGAGGTCCCATGGCTATTGGCTTTGATCTGTTGGGCCCTATATGAATCAGGATTGTTTCTAACATGACAGCCCACCCCCACCCCAAGACTGCCAAGGAGATGGATTTTATAAGGAAAAGCTAGGTGGGCAGGTTCGGGAGACAAGGTGTTGCAGGAGAATCGAGTTCAAGGTCATTCTCCAAAAGGAAGAGAAGGAGGCTAGCCTGGGTTATTCGAGGAGGCGTGTAAAATCAAAATGTGCCCAAGGCTGCCGCTTCACAGTTCTATGACCTTGAACCGCTCCCTTGACTTAGAAACGTAGAAAAGTCTCAGTCTGCCTACCCGGAGTACTGGGCAGCAACCAGACACCTATTATGGCTTGGGGCATCTTGCTGAAAAGTGGGCTGATTGAGGGGTGGGGGATGATGGCCCCTGCACCCCTTTCTTGAGTTACTGGGGCTCTGAGTTCCTGGACCATGAGGCATATTGAGACACACACACTGTGGGGGTGCAGTCTGCTCAGTCCCCTCTGTCCCTTCTTTTCTCTTCCAGGGCATCTCCTCCGAGGGGGACGCTGATCCAGATGGTGGCCTCAGCCTGGAGGAATTTACCCGCTACCTGCAGGAGCGGGAGCAGCGCCTTCTGCTCATGTTTCACAGCCTTGACCGGAACCAGGATGGTGAGATGGGCTCCAAACTGGGGGATGGGCAGATGGGTTAGAACCCGCAGTGCTGGGGAGAAGGGGAGGGCTGCTTCTGACTCACAGGCTATTTTGGGAGTTCTTCTCAGCCCCAACTAGGTGATCTGAACCCAAACCGGCCATCCCACCTCCTGATCCCTTTTAGAAGAGAACCCCTGTCTCTACCCCCCAGATGTTTCTTTCTGGACAGTATAGTAGCTTCAGGGACTCTTGGATCCAGAGACAGTCCCGCGACCAAGTGTCTTCTAGGATCCTTAAGTATTGCCTTAAGGTTGGACAGATGGCTCAGGGGGTAAAGTGCTTGCCACAAAACCACAAGGTCCTGAGTTCAATCCCTAGAACCTACGCTGGGGAGGGAGGAACTGAAAAATTAATAAATAAGCAAATATTGCTTTAGTCTCTTCTAGCATAGGGACCTCTGCAATCATCCCTGAACTCATTCACTCCTGGTAATGGAGGACCCCCCCCCAAATACTGCCCAGTTTCAACTCTGAGTAGCCCCCACAACTGGTACAAAAATCTCTCCCCCGAGGCTAAGAAGCTCACTCAGTGGGTAAAGTGCCTATTGGGCAAACACAAGGACCTGAGTTCAAATCCCCAGCACCCATTAAGCTGAGTGGGGTGGTGCCCACCTATGACCCCAGCACCGGAAAGGTGTAGACAGGAGAATCTTGGGGCTCACTGTCAGTGAATTCCAGATTCAGCGAGAGACCTTGTCTCAAAAGAAACATGGAGAGAGACTGAGGAAGACACAGCCATTGATTCTGACCTACACACACACACACACACACACACACACACACACACACAAACACGCTTCTGGAGCCCCCTTGTCAGTCTTTGGCTTGGTCTCCTGGGGCACCCATTCCAGGTCACATCGATGTCTCTGAGATTCAGCAGAGCTTCCGAGCGCTGGGCATCTCTATCTCGCTGGAGCAGGCAGAGAAAATCCTACACAGGTGAGTTACTGGAGTTTCAGGCCCTTGGAGACCCATCCCCACCCCCATCCCCTCCTCTGCCAGAAAGTTCTGTCCTCTGAGCCCCAGACCCGGCTCCAGGGAGGGCGGGGCTGAAAAGTTGGACTTCGGAGCCAAACAGATCTTAGGCCAGTGGCCTGAAGTCCCTGTCTGACCCCGAAAAGCGCTGGTAGGTGCTACAGCTACCCACACGGGGCTGGTTTGAAGGACTTACACAGGCGAGCCAGTCAGATAATGTGACTGGATCATACCTGGGGTGTGAACCTGTCGTCCTAGCACCTAAGAGGCCAAGGCAGGAGGATTGCCATGACTTAGAGGTCAATTTGGACTTCAGAATGAGACTTCCCTTAAAAACAACTCCAAACATCTTGGCATGTGAAGCTGGCAAGGTGGTTCAGTAGGTAAGAGCGCTTGCCCCTCAAACCTGATGGGGCCAGTTGGATTCCCAATACCCACATGGTGGAAGGAGAGCAACAACCCAGCAAGTTGTTCCCTGACCTCTACGTCAAGCTGTGGCACAAATATGAGCACATACACACATACATACACACACAGTAAATTTGTTTTAAAAAGCCACATAAGATGGCTCAGCAGTTGAGAACAATGACTGCTCTTCTAGAGGATCTAGTTTCAATTCCCAGCATCTACACAGCGGCTCACAGCTGTTTGTAGCTCCAGTTCCAGGATACCCTCACACAAACATTGGTGCAAACAGGCAAAGCACGTTAAATAATAATAATAAATACCGGACGGTGGTGGTATACACCTGTAATCCCAGCACTCAGGAGGCAGAGAAGGGGTGGATCTCTGTGAGTTTAAGACTAGTCTGGTCTACAGAGTGAGTTCCAGGACAGGCTCCAAAGCTAGAGAGAAACCCTGACTTGAAAAACCAAAAAATATGGGCTGGAGAGGTGGCTCAGCAGTTAAGAGCACTGACTGCTCTTCCAGAGGTCCTGAGTTCAATTCCCAGAAACCACATGGTGGCTCACAACCATCTGTAACGAGATCTGGCGCCCTCTTTTGGCCTGCAGGTATACACACAGACAGAATATTGTATAACTTAATAAATAAGTAAGTAAGTAAATATTTTAAAAAAGAAAAACCAAAAAATAAAATAATAATAAATAAGTAAAGTATTTTTTAAAGTCAGATACAATAGTGTAGCCCTAGCACACAGCATTAAGGAGGCTCTGAGATTCAAGCCAGCTTAGAATATAAAGTAAAAGCCTGGATTGACAAAATGGCTGATAAACGGGTGGCTCAGTGGTTAAGAGTGTGAATTATTCTTCTAACAGTGTTTGATTCCTAGCACCCAAGCCAGCTGGCTCACAATCACCTGTAATCACGCTTCAGGACATACACACAATTTAAAATAAATAATTTGAAGAAGGTTTTAAAATGCTTTAGCCAGGTGGCACATGGCTGTCATATCAGCACTCAGAAAGCTAGGCAGGAGGATTGCGCATGAATTGGAGGCCAGCCTGATCTTCAGGGTAAGACCCTACCAAAAAAAATAATAAATGCAGGTATGGGGTGT